ATGGTAGTTACCATAAACATTTTCGATTCAATAATCAAAATATTGATAATGGCTGGCAAATTATCGGATAAGCGATTACATGGTATAATCTGGCATCAATTGAATTGAACCATTTAATCAAGTCGATTTAAAGTTAGACCAAAAATGTCACAAACAGAAGATCAAAAAGGAAAGAGACCAAATTTTATTTAGATATAAATGTGGCCCGTTGTTCGCATTACTTTATTACTTCCAGATACTTAAATAAATATTATTCCGCATCGATATTAAAACAAGTTCAAAGGGTATACTCTTATATAAAGACGTGGAGGTTTGTTGTAAGGCTTGGCCCAGAAATTGCCTGCCCAAAAATCTTTATTAAGCACTCTGTTTATCGATATTCAGTTACATGGAACGTACTTAACACTACAGTTCTCGTAGATAAAAATATATATCGATATTGTTACGACAAATGAACTTACTACAATATTAAATTTATTTTACCATTTTTTTTAGTACAGTCAATCTCCGGGACCGGTCAATTTGCAGATAACGGAATTTACATACGACATGTACATGGTTAAGTTAAGGTCAGGTCTAAATAATTACAAACTTGTAGCAATCAAGATTACTATTGCTTTTAAACTTTGCTTGTAATAAAAATCTCTGCTTCTTCTCATTATGTACTAGGATGCTACAAGACCAACCATAGAATGAGGATTCTCTCGATTTTAATGTACTCAGTCCTTTATCATGACATAACTATCTTTATTTGTATGCAGTACGTTAAATAAAAGCCATCATGGAATGCTCAGTTGAATATAAATTTGCAACGAAGACATACACTCCCTGAAATGGTCGTATTGGTGGATTCCGATAACTAATTAGTAAGACATATTATTCGAACATCTCTACTGGCCTATCTACTAACCAAAATAACAAACTGTTTATATCATCTTAAAGCTATCAATCATTGAACACCAATATGCAGGGGGAACCGCATCAACTATCTTCAAAAAGAGGAGTAAAGTTATAATATCATGAGTCATTCATCGAAATGTAATGTTAAGCAGTGCTTGTGGGTTGGGTAAAACCAACGCCGTCAACTATATACAGTCAAACCTCGATATAGTCAAGTCTTGATACAGTGAATTTCGCATACACTAATAAACTTCTTGACAAGAACACGATATTACTCTTTTCTTACTTATTTTAATTACAATATAACCCTTAGCAAGTGCTTGTTATAACAACATGCAACATTAGTATACACACATAATTGATAAATCTTTTTTATCAAATTTCTTATTATTCCAAACTGACATACAACAGTTCTTCATATTCTTAATCAAGGCTAGGAGGGTCTTACGCCCAGACTCAAAATGATGCTGTTTCTTACGGACGAGTCTGCTTATTAGGTTTAGATAACCGCTTGGCAGGATGTAAAAAGCAAAAAAAAAAAAAATATTTAGAAAATATGGTAGTCAGAGACAGATAAGAGTTGGTTGCTCCGTTAACGTATGGAGGCCCATATTGACCTTTAACCAAAAAAGTTGTCGTTTTAAAAATAGAGACAATACAATCGCCCAATACCGCAATAAGTGTTTGCCTTTACACAATAACCATGATCTAATCACATAACTTAATATATGTACATTTTGCATGATAGAGGTTATTAATAGTCCATCAGATCTATTGATGCCATCTTTCAACTGTCTCGTAAGCTGTATCGTGCGGGTGGCACGCGGAGCATAATATCTTACAAATTCTCCATCTAAGATGTGATTGACAAATGGTCTATTCTCCTCAGTTTGATCCGATAAAGTAGATTTCATGATCTTCCGGCATGATGGTCCCCCGTTTATTGGAAATTTTTTAATCGTGCTCATCTGTCAAACAAAAATATAGTAAAGATTAACGAAAAACAAAGGCACAAGCCTAAATTTTGCAGATCCTTACCACTCAAATCGCTGAGCTCTGTCCGCTTTCTCCTCCTCAACCCTGACGATAGGAAATGAACGGTTAAAACATGGACGTGGCAAAATTTCCATGCCTTTAAATTTCCAGTCAGTCGGGTATATGCCTTGTTGTGGTCTTGGGTGATTGCAGTCAGAGCGAGTAAAAGCATATAGTCGGAATTGAATAATAGTGAGAATAATAGTCGACGAACAACCAAATATTTTCAGCGAATGATTTTCGAGCCGCAACATAATCGATTTTCCCACCCCGTCAACGAAGACCCCCGTATAACCTAACCTTTGTTATGACTCTGCTCTGCCCCAACTAATAACACCCCAACTGCCTCTCTTGCAACGCATTAAACTATCCTCCCATAAAAGTGTGTATTCATTGCTTGCTTACCTGCATTTCTTACATATGAAAGGATGAACGAACCAAAAATATCATCTATGGTAAATGGCATGTTGTATATCACGTTGTGGAACAATTGCATGCAAATTGGAAAAAGCTTACGTAGTCGCAGTTTTGATAAGTCATACGTACTTCTTTAAGATAGGACAAAATTTTTTTTGTCACATACAGGCGATTACGCTCTTTATTTTTTATTGTATAATATCAATAGAAGATAAACTATTTGTTTTTTATAACAAAATGCTTTTGACTATTACTATGTTGTTATCAACGATTAATACAAGTCCCATTGTTAAGGTGACAGTTTGGGCTACAAATAAAAAATGCTATTTATTCGCTCTTTTACAGGGACATCTTCTGGTAGAACAATTTGCCCTACAATTACAGCTATCAGTATGAGCACTTTATTACCGATGCTCTGTAACCTAACTGCTGCTGTTAATAAAATGGTTGTTTGCGGAATGTCTGCCAGTTCATTAAATTCCGCTTGGATGAGACCGATTCACGCAAACTTTATCCATTAACTGGAATTGCCGTTAGTTTCGTTGCGCATAAAAAAGCTTTGTATAAATCAGGCCATAGTAGCCGTTTGCAACCCGCGTCCGGAAAAAAGATATGATATTGGCTGCATTGTTCAAGCATGGTTGTGGGTGTGAAGGTCTGAGATTGCTTTACATCAGTAATAAAAAATCTTACAAAATATCCTGTTGCCATTAGTGTAAATATTAGGAAGAATATGAGTTTCAACAGGATAATGCAATCCACAAAAAGTCCGAAAATTTAAAAATAAATTGCCTGATCAGAGCATTTGTGGAAAAAACTTGAGCTCTGCATACCATAATATTAGTGTGTGCACAACATGTCCAAGAATTCCGATCTGACATAGTTTCAGAATCCACGAGACTTTACAAAACAGTTTTCTTAAAAGTTACGCTTCGTTATACGACGAGTTCGAAACTAAAAGCCTTATTTATTCCATTCTGCGTCGATGAATATCACGAAAATCAGTAGTATGATATCAAATTAAAGAGAATTAAAATGTGCCAGCTGGTGCTGTAGTAAAAAAATAATGAAAACGACTAAGTATTTTACGAACTGTCTGTATTACTGTATCGCATTGGTTTTGCTTAGTGCCGGGTCTTATATTCTGGTAAAGTGCTCGGGTACAACTATTAAGTATATGCATTGTGCCAAACAAAGTACAGTATATACGATACAGAATATCTTCAACAAAAATTATCGTGCAAGACCAATCGATCTATTCATATAATTAATTTTGCTATAAATCGCTTATGAAAGATATATCTATTTCAAAACATTGAGATTCATGTAGCTATGCAGACTAAGCACAATTTTCATCAGTATGCAAAATTTCATTAAGTATAAGCCCCCCAAAAAGGGGGGGGTTCTGAATCGACAAAATCTAATTAATAATCGTGTGTGAAAAATATCGCTTTACCGAATATATTTTGCGTTTGCCAATAAGATGAAAAAAATTCACAGAAAGGATAAGACTGAGTTCACTTTACGTTAAAAAATACAGGGTAGGGTATGGAAACTAGTAGGTCTAGTTGCTACTCGTTATTAATCTTATAAGATTAATATCTCTTGCTTTGTTGTTATAAAAGACAAAACTACCTTTAAAATAAATTGTTTTATTTCTCCTTTTTAACTTCCATTATAAAGAGGTTTGAAAAAAAAAAACCAACATGTATCAGGGACAAAAATAACAATCTAATATATCAAGTCACAATATATCGATTGGAAGAATTTTATTCTCATAAAATCTACTAATGCTCGTTACTATATGTCATTCTCTTATACGCTTGTCATAACAATGCTAGCCAACAAACTACCTAGAGTAAAGCACCATACCCACAAATTAGCATCTATACCATTGCTAGCAGAGAATATGTTTTGTGCTTGTATTCCTGTAGGAGTAGCATCATCAGTACTGGAGGTAGCATTACTTGATAAACCAGCTGTATCATTTGAAGCTCCACTAGGTAAAGGAGTGGGGACAGTGGTGGGGGAACCTGAGAGGATGGTGGTGGAAAAACCTGAGGCAATGGTGGTGGGAGAACCTGAGGTGATGGTGGTGGTGGGAGAACCTGAGGGGATGATGGTGGGAGAACCTGAGGGGATGATGGTGGGAGAACCTGAGGGAATGGCAGTGGGGGAACCTGAGGGAATGGCAGTGGGGGAACCTGAGAGGATGATGGTGGGGGAACCTGAGAGGATGGTGATGGGGAAACCTGAGGGGATGGTGGTAGGAGAACCTGAGGGGATGATGGTGGGGGAACCTGAGAGGGTGGTGATAGGGAAACCTGAGGCTTTGTAGTTGATTAATGGGGAAAGCAGAAGGAGAGAAAATAGATTGTGAGCAAAATTTTAATGGTATTTTAAAAAAGCATATATTTTGGTACCAAAGGTGATTATAAAGACGAGTAATAATGTATGTTGTTGGTTTGCATGCAACATATTGATTTGATACTTTAAAATTTTTTGAATGTCTTACCTCCTAATTCACTCTTAACGTGCGTCTAAGTAAAAAGAAGAAAAAGAGCAGACATACTTATTAGTGACAATGAATGACCGGGATGCTTATGTTAGAACTCACATCATGTCACAATAAAGAAGTATATATTAAACTTTTTATATGTCGTATATACTCATTTACTTTGCATTTTTTTACTTACAGCTGCCAGAGCTAAAACAAGGATGAAGCACGGTCTTTTCATGTTGGCTGTTGTTGTTTAATAGCGTTTGTTTAAAAGTAATTTGCGACTATACAAGAAGATAATAATTTGTTTGTTGAATTTTTGTTCCTCATACCTTCTTGGCCTGTGTATATATATATGTATATATTGTATACACGTGACATATGATAATAAAAAAGAAATGTCCATTTTTTTTTATAATACCGCGAAATACGGTAACATGTGCCGGGTAAACGCTTTTCTTCTGTACAATTCATTTGCCAATGTCAATGCGATAAAACGAAAGCTATTTATAACAAACAATGAAGTTATTTCAAATTTGAAACGACAATTATGTACAACATACATAGAACGTCTAGGTTATCGAAGAGTATTCTTGTAATATTACATTATGTATTATCTGATAATTATTTTATGTTATTATTATAATATTTATTATTCGCGCTATATTTTTTTGCTTGGATAAGTAATGTGAGTCAAAGACTGTAAATCACTCATAGAACATTATTAGCTTTATTGGCTCAGCAAGGCTGTGCTGATATTTATAGATGCTGTTCGGGAATTGATCCCTTCTTGGGAATCTCCGTACTAAATTGTCTAAAAAAAGTTTGATTGAAATACTATATATACCAAATCCAAGTTTTTTTTCATGAATTTCCCGAAATGATTATCGTAATGATATACCAGAAGAGTTTATTGGAGGCCACATTGAAGATCTCCATAACAAAGAAAATTTCCATGTTAACCGGGATCATGAAGGTTGGCGTAGGGTTTATGGCGATTGTAAACTCCCGTTCACATGATGCACGCATTCTGCGTTGTATTTAGAATCATTTACAACCAGAGAATATACCTCAGAGGTAATTTCTTACAGCTATTGTCTTATCAAATGTAGGCTAGCTCAGCTGGCGGGTAAAAATTTATGCTAGAGACTAAACTATAAGGAAAAGGAAGAATGAATCAGACACAGCAAAGTCTCCTTAAATGTACGTTCTCCATTAATAAATGTGAGCTATTATACGTTATCAACACAATATTTTTGTTCGCATCGTTATTACTAAACATGCGCTCGGTTGTTGATAATGTCATTATTACTTGTTGAGGATATTACCTCCAAAAACATGATTACAAGTAATTAATTGAGAGAAATATAGGGTTCAACCTTTGAAAGCAGAGCAAATCTCGGTTGTCCAACAAAATAAATATCAACAAGAGAAATTCTGTTATGCCAGCAGTGTCGAGAAACATTTATTTTTAATGGTTCATTGACAATATATTTCGGGCACATTGAAAGGCTTTATTAGTACATTTATTGATCGTGCATTTTCGCATTGATATAAAAAACATTTGCAACAGCAAAACAGGTTATTGGATAGTCTAAAATTTCAATATTATAATTCAGCGTTTTGTAATATTAAAAACCATCAAGTGCGTGTTAATAGAAAAATTCCATGTCACAACTATGTAAATAATTGATTATATTATGCGTTACATTATTACGCAGAAAGGGTAAACGGGTTTCCAGTTTATTTACATTTCGCTCGATTAGGACAACATTGTTGGTATTGTTTGATGTCAACGGATAAAGCTAATCTACGCCGTTTGTCTGTGTGGAAGGTTTATTATTATTATTATTACGTTATTAAAGCCATTATTAAGTAAGACTCTTCAATATAATGTGTTCAACTCTTTTACACATGTTATCGAATACGTATTTGTTGTCGTAATACAGCTTCGATTATACAATAGTCCGTTCGGTAACTCTTTGAATGCTTAAATCGAATTTGTATGACCTAATTTAAATTTGCCGATTTAGTAAAGGTGTTCTACGTGTATACATGTAAGATGTCGATCAGATCATGACAATGGTAAGTAAAGATGCAAGTAATCTATAGTGCGGCAGGCCATTAATTGCATGGAAATAAACAGTATCAAATAGAAATTATTGCCAAGAACTGTTCTGCTGATCGTTACAATATATGGTTTAGATATTAAAAAATCGATAACCAAATCAAATAAGAAACATAGCATCAGTTGTTTCCCAGAAACTATTGCCAAGAACTGTTCTGCTGATCGTTACAAGATATGGTTAGATATTAAAAAATCGCTAACCAACTCAAATGAGAATCATAGGCAAGAACTGTTCTGCTGATCGTTACAAGATATTAAAAAATCGATAACCAACTCAAATGAGAAACCCTAGTTTTTATAGCATCAGCTGCTTATTAACAAAGGCCTGTGTTACACGTAAGTTTCAGTTTCTTTTAGTAGTAAAACACATTTTGTATTGTAAGAACAATTAATTAAATCAAAAGTATTGTATTTTATAGACACAAGAAGAGTTATTTTTAGAAGATCAACGATGATGGAATTTCTAGAGAGTATCATAGTCACGGATTCGATGTTTCATATAAACTTTGAAACCGATTTCCCCATAAACTAATTATAGAGAATATTATTTTTATTCAGCCAACAAGCGTTTGGAAAGTAAATGCATAAATAGTAAATACATTATTGCGGTTTTCAAAATGCTGTGACACCCTGTCCACGGGACTAAAAAAAACGAAGACACTATGTTTTAGAAGATTATTCGTGATTATAGAGGTGCAGTCAAATTCAATTCTTCTAGCTAAGAAAGCACAACCGTTATCTGGCTTACGGAAACCTGACTGCCAAGTTACAGCTTCCTACCTAAAGGGAAAGTACGAGATTACAAGGCGATTATAGAACGATTATAGAACGATTACAGGCGATTACAGGTGATTATTATGTGATTACGGACAATTATTAGATGATTACAAGTACTGTTATCCCATAAATGCTGTCATATAGGTACGGGTCGTCCAAGATTTGAAATGGAGAATGGTCTGGATTGTTATAACAAACGACGTATTAGTGAACTTCTATACGTGAGTTATTCGGGAGTACGCAGAGTATTGAGGAACTTTAGGAAATGGAACTGTGTGGACAACCCATTTAGAGGTGTTTCCGGTTGTAAAAAACTGTTCAGAAGTATTGACATGAAGGTCTGAGTTGGTTTGTTTTTGCTGTCGGAATTCTTTGTGTAGAGATCTTACACACACATACTTTATACAGATTCTGACAGAACTGGTTAACGAGAGGGTAGGTTGGTTTTTGGACGAATTTGTTGCAGAAATGGAGGCGAGAACAGGCAAAAGAGTATCCATTCCGACTCTGCGGCGTTCGTTAAAATTTTGTGGGATTACGCGAAAAGTACTAACAATTTTGATCATGGGTGTCGAAGTCTTTTTTTTTTTTTGTATTTTATCATAAAGATAAGTAAGGCAGCAGCGGAAAGAATGAGTTGTTACGTAGCGCATTTATTGTTGAAATCGGCACTGGTTACATGCCCGAACAATTCATTCTCATTGATGAAAGCGCACGTACTCTTTCACGCAGATACGGATATTCATATGTGAATACAAGAGCTCGATTGAGAGTAGCATTTGATCCTCCATGTAACTAAAAAGGCAAAGAAGGCAAAGCAGGACATGTCAGGTCTATCACAGAATAAAAAGTCTCAGCAATCAACCATAACCATACAATGTTGTGA